GGGGGGGGGGACGGGGGCCACGAGACTGGGCTGGCCCGAGGGGGAGTTCAGCTTGAGTTCAAGCCTAGGTTACGTCAACAACAACAACAAAAATTTTAAAATCTTTAAAAAATACAAAAAAATTCAGATTTTTTTTAAAAATAAATACTTAGTCATATTTTTCACTTCCCACACCAAAACTCTATACAAATTTGTCTCCTCATATCTCATGTGAATAGTTGTTGCCATGACAATTGATGGAAACACCACAACCTTTTGCAAGGGCAGCCACTATTCATGTGAATAGTAGCTGCCCTAGCCCCTCCTTGTCATGGCAAAGGGCAAACTGCTGGAAGTGCTCTAAGGGAAATATTAACGATGAAACGAGCTCTGCTTAGAGCACTTCCAGCAATTAGCCCCTTGCTATGACAGCTACTATTCATGTGAATAGTGCTGCCTTTGCAAAAAGCAATGTTGGTTTCCAGCTGTTGCCATGGCAAAGGGCAAATACTATTCATTTTTTTGTTTTTTTCACAAATTTGTTTACCTAAATAATTAATTTGGACAATATTTTCGGATAAGATTTTTGGGTTCCTACGTGTCAATACTATTCATATCTCATAATCGGATAAAATTTTCGGTTTCAAATTTCAGATAATTGGTAGGTATTTATAGAAAAAAAAAATCCAGTATTTTTTGGTATTTTTTAATAAAAAATTCGGATTTTTTTCCATATTTTTATTGCAAAAATATTGACTGCCGTTGGATTGGAGGAGAGAATCACGATTGGAGCGCCCAGACGACGCCACGTGTCCCAGAGCTGTTGGCCCGGCGTAAGGCTGATGTCAGCACACGGAGTTTTGGATCTTGGGCTCAACCTGCCCTCGGACCCAGCCCGTCTTCGTGGCCCCCACCTCCAGCCCACCCCAGCCTGAGCTGCTAGAATCGCTTTTTGGCCCAAACAACCCCCCAGCCCCGCCCCCCCAAAACCCAGCTGCTGGAACTGCTCTTAGAAATGTCTCTGTCTACGCGCGTTCTCGTCTTCTCCCTCCTCCTTGCTACAATCCTGGCCCTCCATCCCAACTCGCTCCTCTCGCTGATTCGACTCGCCCCAGAATCAGCTTTTACTCGACCGAGTCTTCACCACACAATCAAGGGGTTTGCAATGCTGCAGTGGATGATGTCAGTAACAAAGGTATTAAGATTTTTCTGAGAAATATAAATTTGGGTTTTTTCAGTCACTGGCTCTTCTTGGTTGCTCTCAACTTCTTAGCTATGAATTATTTGCATTTTTATGTTGAAACCGGTTTCGAAAAACTGACAGTCTCAACATATTTGATTCAGCTGCTATATTCTCTTTTGTGTTTTAATCACTTGCAGTTTGCATTATTCATGGCCTGCAAAACCGTTTGAATTTGTTGAGTTCTGGGATTTAGAGGTGTTAGCATTTTCATGCTTATGATTTTGAATTCAGATTTGCTTGAAAATGCAAGGATAGTGTTTTTCATTCTGCATAGAAATGAAAGTTCATAATGCAGACTAAGCTTGTGAAAATTATCAGTAAGGATATGGTCACTAACATTTAGTGGAAACAATCCTCCAACAATTATTTTTTCAAATATAACCTCTCCTGCCGACCATAAAGAATGTAATCTCTAATGAAATCTACCAGCAAATAGACTTAGGTGACACGAAAACTATAGCATTCGTCTCAAATTCTAAATCATTGAATTCCATTCTCCAGTAACTTGTGGTGTAGTAGGGATTATGTTTTGATACCCAAAAGAAATAACAATTATGAAAGCTACATGCCACGGAAGTTACTGACATGTGTCCGGTCTGTAATGTTTGCCACTGGATATAAGAAAGTGTGACTAATTTAAAGGAAATATGATTATTTGAATGCTTTGGCTAATCAGAGCTGAAAGTGCGGATAGATAAATACTTTAAGGCTGATGAGGAGGCACTCCCATCGATTCTTGAAGCGATTCTGCAGAGGAGATTGGCTGGGAAGCATGAGGAAACAGATGATGATCTGATTGATGATCTGAAAATGCAACCGGTGGATGGTGTTAAGGACCAAGAGTTTGAATCGGACATTGAGGAAATGTATGACACAGATGAAGAGATTGATAACTTGTATAACGCAAGGGATGTAATCATGAACAGGATGGTAAAAGATGAGTACTTCAACATGGATGACAAGAAGTGGGATGGCATTGTTGGGGATGCAATTAAGCATGGGATTATGAAGGATGAAAGGGTGTGAGGCGATTCTTGAGGATATGCTTAGCTGGGATAAGCTCCTGCCAGGTATACACTTCTAGTCACTCCATTTTGTATGATGCTTTATTTCTATCAAGTCCGCTTCCCTACTTGAAATGTTAGATGTTTGTCTGTTAACCTTTCTGTATATGTGGGTCTGTCTGCCCACACACTTTTTAAGTTAACCATTTTTTATCTATTTTGACATGATTGCAAAAGTTGTATTTTTTAGTTACATGGCTAGACCTTTCCCAAAGTCGAAATTTCTGGGCGTCCAATATTCAGCTGTCAATCATTTTCTTTGTTTCTCACACAGACAAATATAGTACCAAGTGTTTCAATGGCATGGAAGTTGCATTTTTGGTTCAAACTGGTGTTTATCAAATAATCTGCAATGCAATTGTCTTTTCCAGATGACATGAAAAGGAAGGTTGAAGAGAAGTTCATTGACCTAGGGGATATGTGTGAAAGAGGGGAACTTGAACCTGAAGAAGCTTACAAGTTGCTTAAGGTGTTTGAGGATGAGATTGTCATGTGATATGTGCAGAAGATGGAAGCCGACAGGCCCCCACAATTTGATGAGACTGCTGGACGGGACAAGAAAAAGGAGGTAGATGACCCACCAGGCGAAGGACCAATCCTTAGGTGGCGAACACAGGCAGTCTTTGCTCCTGGTGGTGATGCCTGGCATCCCAAGAATAGAAAAGTGAAAGTGTCTGTTACAGTGAAAGAACTTCGGCTTTCAAGGCATCAATTCCGTTGGCTCAGAGTTGGCCGGAAAGCGGTACAATCCAGGGAAAGATGAGCTTACAATTACTAGTGAGAGATACGTCAACTGCATGCCCTCTTTCTGTTATTAGTTTTATTATTATTTGAAGTATTGCATGCTCTCTTTCTCTATCATTAGTTTTGTTATTATATGAAGTACTTAGTCTGGTTAATAGTTGTTCAGATTTCAAAGTTTTTATTCTTATACATCCCACATGATATTGTTGATTGTGCATTTTATTACTTCTCCCTCCTCCTATAGCACAAAGAGAAACTAATAGTTATAGGCCCTGCAGAATGTATGAGAAGATTCTTTTGTTATGTCTTGCTCAGTCCTTGAAAATTATGTGTGCAGTAATTTTATCGAATGCAGTTTATACATCCAAGATATCTTATTTAAAAGCGGAAAAAAGTTTATCCACCCAAAAGTGAGGAAAGAAGTATTTGAGCATAAATAAAGCATATGAAAATTGATATATCAACATTTAGTAGTACTGCACATTTTCCTTTCATTACTACAACATCTTATCCACTCTATGCAATTGCAACGTTTTTGTTTTTTGTATTTTTTTAATGAAACTTTTTTCTTTGCAAAGGAAAATTATATATATATATATCGCTCTCTATCTCTCTGTCTCTGTCTCTGTCTCTCTCACTTGTGAAGGTTTGAACACTGAGAAGAAAATAGAAAGGATTGCCTTAGGACTCTTCTTTCCCTCATTGAGGAAGCTGGGAAAGCTAACAAAGTGGCTGAGGATGCTAGAGTTTCGTATGTCAAGGATATATTAAGAGCAAATCCTGCATTCATGGAGGGGTTGCATAACAAGACCATGAGATTGCAAGGAAAAAGCACTGTGCCTGCTTGAGATTGTGAGTTCCAGTAGCTAGTTGAAAAATATGTTTCCAGGTCTGGGATAGCATCTTCTGGACATTTGGCTGTTTTAATTGTTGACCCTCACTCCAAGATAATTATTTTGCAACAGAGTATACTCCCAATGCATATTTCATGCAGGCATTGGTAGATTTGGCTAGTTGCTAATGTTGGCAGCCAATTGTCTTTACCTTATATCCCCTGAAAATTTCACTTGGATCTTTTTGAAGTGCCAAGTGCAATGTTTTTAAAGATCTTTTTGGTTTCTTTCAATGTATTAGTTTAAGTTATAAATGATGAGGTGCTTTAACTAAGGAGATCATTAACGTTATATTAATATTAATTAATGCATGATATTACTTAATAGAGACACAAATTTGCTCTGTCTGCTGTGAACATTTGTTTAGCCAATTTTCTTGCCATCTTTTCAAATTTGTGATTAGCTGGCAGTGAATTTTATCTTAAATGTTAGAAATGCAGGGTACCCATCTTTTGTATTTTCCTAATGAATGTCATTGGTGTGGTTAGAGATCAGAACAGCAAGGATTTTCTGTCCATATTATGTAGGTGTGGTTGGTATAGTTTTGGTGTGCTGTTGGGATCTTGGTTCTGTCTATCAATTAAGGGGCAATATTTTTTATCGCACCCTTTATGAAGTCCTATGTACTGGCCTTAGACAAATATTTTGCGGTGCACTTGAAATAGAGTTACAGTATTTGAATACGAGAATAATTCAGAATGGAAGAAGATACACAGGAAATATGATCTTTGGCCTTGACTCCAACATGGTCTTGCTACTGACAATTTTTGTTGCTGTTTCCCTGCCTGTGGAGTTCTCTATCCATCGATTCAGTTACGTAAGTGATACTCTAGCATTTTTCATGAGGTTTTTGTTTCACTTTATTGTTATTTAAGTTATTAGACATTTAAGTGGAATTTGGGAGACTAAGTGGCGTATTTTGTGTATTCTTCAATGGTTATGTTCTTTTGTTGTCTCAGTGGTTGCAGAAAACCAATCGTAAGCCCTCGCTTGAAGCTGTGGAGAAAATGAGGGAAGGTATTTGGCCTAAACTCTGTTTACAACCTCCCTCAACTATCCGAAAAATTCTTTTTGATGCGATTCTAGCAAGCCATGTAACTCATAATTTCATATTATACCTGTCATTTCTAAGCTTTCATGTTTTTGTTCTGCTGCCTCCAGAGTTGATGCTGCTTAGGTTTATCTCTCTGCTTTTGAAGGCTACCCCAAGCATGATAGCCAATATTTGCATTCCATCAAAGTTCTACAATAGCAATTTTTCTCCATGCTTGAGGTCTGAAATTGATGAAGAAATTGAAAAATAATTCGTCCCAGGAACATAAGTTGTTGATGTTTTCTGTTCTGCCTCACTCGTTCAGGAGAATGTTGAATGGCTTAAGGAATATGATTTAAATGTTTAAGGAATTTTTCTTAGACTTCTTCCTCTCTTTTCCCTCCTACTTTTCCATGAACTATAAGTGATGCCTTGGCAAACAATCTTTGGTTAAATGCAAAATTCATTTATTTGAATAGGGCTATGATCCATTTGTTTCATATCATCAAGGTCTTGAGAAATTTCAGGCAATTCTTCCGAAAGCTATATCTAAGCATAAAACATCACATTATTATTTGATAGCAAAAGCACACCCTCCACTTCACATGGTGTGTTGAGCAGGCCAGCAATTATCCAAATCTCCTCCACCAATGTGGAGTTGAGTCTGATGGGAAGAAACTTCATGGAACCCACGAAATGAAAGTCAAGAATGATGGTGTTTTTTTTTTGGTCAAGGTCAAGAATGATGGTGAGTGATCACATTATATTTCCTTCTTTTTTTCAATCTCACACAAACATCCTCTTTATCAATTTACTGTTTGTCAAAATATTGGTTTCAGCAAGAAAACATCTATAAAATCCCACAGTTTTTCAGACTTTCCTGAACTGCCTTAACTAAATCCTTAACAATTTGCTGGGCCAACTGGCAACTGGTAAGCGCCATCCGTCTCTTCCCAAGACCCAAGCCAAACTTGTAAGCAACTCTGTGCCCACCTAACAAACAAACGCGTTTTCAGCACGGAGCAATTTGAAAATCATAATCTTTAGTAGTTGGAGTCGGCACTTGGACTATGCTAGAGTTTTTTCGATCATACGTGATCGTTAGTGGAGGTACACCAGATTGTCTTAATTTTGATGTTAGACCGCTCCGTTATTGTAATGACCCTTTTGTAGCTAATGGCTTTTTATGATTGAATTATGAATGCAATTATGGAATTTCTCAACCAAAAAAAAAAAGGAAATCCAAAATAGCAATTAAACGTCACACTACATGTTATAACTTATATCATGAGCGAACAACGTAGTTGATATGTCATGGACTCAAGAGATAGTTTTAATAAATAGATATATGTCTTATAACATCATTCATTACTGCCACATTTAAAATAAAATAAAAACTCATTTTACAATGGTTTTTTTTAATACAATGAAGTCTAAAATATAAACTCATCATCAAATCATATTATAACACATGAATTAATAACATCGGAAAACCGACACAAATTTCCAATTTCTTTTCCAAACGAAGCATCTTCTACTAGTGCACTGTGTAGTACGTCACTGCATCTGCTGCATGGCTTCGTAGTGGGTTCCTTTTAAAAGTGTCATGCATATTCTATGTCAAAAAGTGAAAGTGTGATGATGCCTTCATGCATATTATGGGACAATCGGTCGTTTTTCTTCTTGAAGGTCGCATATCTGATTTTTCATACGTATATAAGTGGTAGGTCCAATCCAAATTTAGTCCAACTTAATTAATACGGCTGTTAGAATACGGATTCAGTTGCTTGACTTGGCGCCAATCCCTCCTTGATCTTGGCCCATGGGGGGCAGTTTTGGAAAGTGAAGATACAATACGACCAGCTGCCGTCTTATCTTCTTTACATAGGATTTTGTCAAAAGTGATCAAATCTTTTTTTGTTTTTGAAAAAGTTTAGGTGAGATTGGTTATTCCCAACATCAACATCAAGGTATACCCACAACTTCGAGTTGGAGTGACTTACGCATAACAAAGTGATCAAATCTTTGCATAGTCATATTTCGAGGTATTGAGTAAACTATTACCTACAAAAATACTAGATTTAAATCAGTGACTTTCTTTCAAAAATGTAGAACGGTTTTACTATTATATTTATATTCAAATGCAATTTTGATAAGTATTGATTAATAATCAGAGGCCATAGGCTTAAGTGTAGCGATTTTTCTTTACATTAGTTACCACATCAGATGTATACATTTAATCGGATTAAATAAACCGTAATGCATAATGCATGTGATTAACCTGTTGCAAACGCAAGCATTGACATCATGCATTGCATATATAATATACCAATATTATTATCTGCCGTTCATGATTAATTGCTTCAAAATTTCAGCCAACCAAGAATAAGGGAGGTATCTGTAAAGTGCAAACCTATCAGAGACTTGAATAATTTGGGATATTAAAACGTCATTGTTTTAATAAAAGAGGCCACATGGTATACACCAAAAAGAGGCCACATGGTATACACCAAAAAGAGGCCACATGGAATTTGGACTAACTTCAACTAATTTTTGAAGCAAATGGTTCCCACCCATCTAACTGTCCTTCCACACATCACTCACAACTCCAAATATCAATTTTCCCTTTTATGCATCTATTTTTAAAAATTATTTGATAAAAAATGAAGTTTTTTTTTTGCAGAGCGTCAAAAGCTGTCAACAAAAGCAAATCTGCCATCAGTGCGGAGAAAACGACATAGCAGTCAAACTAACCATGTGCAATACCATTCTAGACGTCCTTGATGATTCACATTTTAACACAGAAATAACACTATTTTGTTATACCAAATTATAATATTATGACATGTTTAATAACACGTGACATAATATTATTCGATGTATATAGCTGGGCAACACACATAAATCTTTTCCCAACTTGGACCAAAAAAACAAAAAATAACTTCGTTAAAAGACAAAAAGAAAAACAAAGCACTCAGAAGTGAGATCTCTTCTGGCGAAGGCTCATGCTCTTTTGTTTTTGGTTTAAACTATGTTGTCCATTAAAGTATAAAAGCCCTGAGAACTTACCCATGCACCCTCCAAGAAGAAAAAATAAAGTTTCTTTCTTTTCGCCATTTTTGGTTTCCTTTTATGAACCCAAGAAAATTATATTTACAGGGGAACCACTGAGAAACAAAGAGAGAGTTTTGGGTTTCACATTTTGGGTTCTGCTACTTTACATCTGCAGTGGCTATGTAATCCTCGAATCTGCCCTGTTTTGCGTGTAGAATGAGATCCAAGCAAGATGTGGTGAAAAAAGTTTTCTTTTGGGCTCTCTGATCTTGAAAATTAAGGCAGGAAGGAAGGGTAAGGGCCTCAAGGGTTTGAGGAAAAAGTTACGGTTTTTGGTCAGAAGATACTGGAGAGAGTGAGTAATCTTCAGAGGAGTGAGAAGCGTTGTTGAGGATTTATTACTCTCTTCAGAAAATTTTCCTTTGATTGCAAGTAGAAGAGTAAAAATAGTTATAGAGGTACTTTGATAGACATTAATGTACTGAGAAGAAGCCAGTTCATTTCTTGTGAGGTTTACCTAAGAAGGCAACTGACACTGGGGGGTTCCAAGCAAGATCCGCTTGCTTATATTACTCCAACTCCATCTTGTAATACCCAATAAGAGAGGGTATTGAAGTTGAATTTTTTTTGTCTTCTGATTTTGAAAAATTGAAAGTTTTCTTCACAGACCCTTTTGTGGTTTATACATTTGTGACTAGCTGGCGGTGAATTTGAGCTTAAATGTTAGAAATGCAGAGTACCCATCTTTTTTATTTTCCTTGTGAATGTCATTGGTGTGGTTAGAGATCAGAACATTAGGACTTTCTGTTGATATTATGCAGGTGTGGTTGGTATAGTTTTGGTGTGCTGTTGTAAACTTGGTTCTGTTTAACATTTAAGGGGCATTATTTTTGATCGTACCCTTTATGAAGTTCTATGTGCTAGCCTTAGCCAAAAATATTTGAGTAGGAGAATAATTCAGAATGGAGGAAGATACACAAGAAATGCGATCTTTGGCCTTGACTCCAACATGGTCTGTTGCTACTGTTTTGACAATTTTTGTTGCTGTTTCTCTGCTTGTGGAGCGCTCTATCCATCGATTAAGTTATGTAAGTGATACTCTGAGCAGTTTTCATGAGTTTTTGTTTCTCTGAATTGTTACTTAGGTGGAATTAGGGAGACCAGGTGACATATTTTGTGTAATCTTCAGTGGTTATGCTCCTTTGTTGTTTCAGTGGTTGCGGAAAACTAATCGTAAACCCTTGCTTGAAGCTGTGGAGAAAATGAAGGAAGGTATTTGACCTAATACTCTGCTTACAACCTCCCTCAACTATCCAAAAAGTTATTTTTGATGCGTTTCTATCAAGCCATTTAACTAACAATTTCATATTATATTTTCTATTTCTAAGCTTTAATGTTTTGTCCTGCTGCCGCCAGAGTTGATGCTGCTTGGGTTTATCTCTCTTCTTTTGACGGCTACCTCAAGCATGATAGCCAATATTTGCATTCCATCAAAGTTCTACAATAGCAGTTTTTCTCCATGCTCGAGGTCTGAAATTGATGAAGAAATTGAAAATAATTCGTCCCAGGAACGGAAGCTGTTGATGTTTTCTGTCCTGCCGCATTCATTTAGGAGAATGTTAAATGGCTTGAATCATAATTCCTGCAAAGAGGTGCGTCACTCATTCATGTATAACATTTAAACTAAAATTCTAGTTTGGTACATTTTTGCTTTCTTATTTCCTATAAAATCTTGTTCATGACTCATGCATTCACTTGGTTCCTGGAAAATGAAATGAAATGAAGTACTACTGTTGAATATGATTTTAATGCTTAAGGAAACTGCTTTATACTTCTTCCTCTCTTTTCCCTCCTATTTTTCACGAACTATAGTGATGCCTTGGCAAACAATCTTGGTTAAAATTGAAATTTGTTTATTTGTACAGGGCTATGAGCCATTTGTTTCATATCAAGGTCTTGAGCAGTTGCACCGCTTCATCTTTGTCATGGCAATAACACATATATCCTACAGTTGCTTAACGATGTTGTTGGCAATAGTGAAGGTTAGAATTTTCTTCATATTTCTACTTCTTCTTCTTCATCCAGATCTTATTAGGTAGTGGTGAAACCTACCATTCATCATTGAATTGTTTTTCTTCTGGATAACGGATGCAGCAACTTTGAGCAAGTTACTTCTAATAAGCTATCTGAATATCTTCTGGTGGCCTTTATGACATTACCATTTTCCCTGAGTAAGAACATGTCTACTCATTCCCATTGAAAGAACTCTAAAACAAATGGGTTAGTCTTCTTTATTGAAGTAAAAGCAGAAAAATAAATTTAAACTATAAATTCTGGAAATTAAAATCAGCGAAATGAAATTCATTGACATAAGGTGTACATTTTTTTAATTGCTTTCACGCTATTAGTTCAAGAATAGATAAGTTATGACTGCTATTACCTAGAAGAAGGCTTGGATTCTTTGTTCTAGGTGCTTAGCCTTTTATGTAATTAGCACCTGTAGCCACAACCTTAGGTGTGAATCTAGAGTTTCGTTTCATAGGCCTTCTACCTCTATATATGTATATACACGCAGGCACATCTATATCAGCCTTTGTCTCTTCAATTCTATCTGGTTTAAGTGAAGTTCATTGATCTTTAATTATTACTTCTATCTAGTGTACTGATATGTTATGTGTATGACGATAGTGGGTATTTACTGAAAGAGAAGATGAGAATATAACATTGCATTGCAATTTTTGATGGATTACTGTTTGTCATTGTAATATTGTGACCAGATTCACAGCTGGAGAGCATGGGAGGATGAGGCTCACATGGACCGGCATGATTCATTGACTGGTAAACTCTGATGTTGCATTGGTTAGAATTGTGCATAGATCAGCTTAGTGATCCCCACTTTTATGAGCCATGTGATGTAGATTTTTAAGTTACCTGTGAGATGACTGTAGATATACTCTGTAACAGAAATCACACGCCAGTTGACAATGCGAAGGCAGTCTAGCTTTGTAAATCCATCAAATCCTGTGGTCAGGAATAACTTCTTCATGTGGGTGGTAGGTGCAACTCTATTTTTCTTACTTAAATTACATAGGTACCTCCATTCTTATTTATGTTGTTTTAAATTACAAAGCTTAAAGACGCAGTTTAATTTTGGTGTGGAACGTACTTTAGATTGTCATAGACTCCACTAGTTATTATTGAGTTTTCTTTGTGTGTTTCTTGCTATTAGGAAATAGCTGCTTTAATTCAAGGCTTTTTATAGTTGAATGCTTTGTCATACAGACATGTTTTTTCCGGCAATTTGGGCGTTCAGTGGTTCGTGCTGACTACTTAACACTCCGCAAGGGTTTCATCATGGTATCGAGTATTTTCATTCATCAGAAGAGTAGAATGAGTCTTCCACATTTTGTTTTTTCTTTTATTTATTTTTTACTCAGTATAATATTATGTCTTAGCCCTTAATGATATGGTTTTCACTATTACGCCTTCAAATTTACTAGTGTCGATTACATCATGTTTGCATTGATATGCCTGGTAACTGAGCTTCTGTATTATTTCAATAATTTTATTTATTTATGATAAACCCCATTCCTTCAGTGATCTCTTAGTTTTTTGGTAGAAATTGTTTAGATGTTGTATGCTCTGAGATTGGTTCCTCTTCTTGTTTCCACCTATTATATGTATGTTCAGGTAATTTGACATTATAAGTACGTTGCAGATAATGTGTTAGTAATGCCAATTTTAACTACCGTTGAATGAATTTTTACTCCTTTCTGTTATTCATGGCAGAATCACAACCTTTCACCAAAATATGATTTTCACAGCTATATGATTCGGTCTATGGAAGAGGAATTCCAAAGGATTGTTGGTGTGAGGTAAGAAATTAATTTCTTCAATTAAGAATGGAAATAGTAAATGAGCAGTATTTTTGGTTACCATGACTCTAACTATTTATTGTTTGTATTTGTGCACATACAGGGGTGTCGTCTCTCTTATTAGTTGTCGTTTAATACTATGCAATTATATTTTGCAAATGGGATAACCATTAATGTTAGGCATGAATGTGTGCTGAAAGTCCTTATTGGATGTTATTGCTGGTTTGGATAGTTGAATTCCACTGAGAATCAATAGCTAAAATGCCTCTTCTTTAATCAATTGCAGTGGCCCACTCTGGGGATTTGTTGTTGCTTTCATGCTGTTTAATATAAAAGGTACGAGGTAGAACTGAAAATGAAATGCGTGAAATTGGTACTTGTTCGTTCTAGCGTGAATATGCTACAAAACAAAGGGATTTTTTAATTTAAATATTCACTCTCAAAGGATATTAAGGTTTCATCACCTTTTAAATGATAATTATAGCTTGCATGTTTCATTATTTTGTCATTCTAACTGCCAGTTGGTGCATGATAAGATGATTATTGGTCTTGAAAACTTTAAAATGTGACTGCTTTCTGTAACCTATTACAGGGTCTAATCTCTATTTCTGGATTGCAATCATCCCAATTGCTGTAAGTGTAGATTTTAATTTTCTCTCATTCGGTTTTAGTTTTCACCTATTTACTAAAAATGAATGTATCTCTAAGATACTAGCAAAATTTGCATTGTCAAACAGACGCTTGTAAAAACACATATCACACCTCTTCCTTAGATCGGTTATGACATTTGGGGGAGGGGATTTGAACTTGTGACCTTCTCTTTTGAGGAGAAGTATAACTACCAATGGACTATGACTACAAAAGAAACACATCACACATAAAGATGTTATATCCAGAGAGTGGAGCTATAAGAGTAGTGAATTTTCTGTAAATAAACTTGTCTCAAATCTGTTACACAGTCGTGTGTTTCTTATGTTACTCTAATTTCATTGTCTGTTCATGTGCAGTTAGTTCTTCTTGTGGGAATGAAGCTGCAGCATGTTATTGCAACCCTGGCATTAGAGAATGCTGGTATAACTGGATCCTACCCAGGAGCAAAGTTGAGGCCTCGGGATGATCTTTTCTGGTTCAAGAAGCCTGAACTTTTGTTATCCTTGATCCATTTTAGTTTGTTCCAGGTTTGCAATGGTTATCGTGATGCCGGGCATGTCTTGTTTTATTGTATCATTATGTTCTTTAATGACTTGTATCACATATCACAATGCTAGAACTAATATACCTTTGTTTTTCTTTTCTTTATTTTATCTATTCTGATTTTGCAGAATGCATTTGAATTGGCTTCCTTCTTTTGGTTTTGGGTAATTCCTTTTCCATGACTAGCTTGGTACTCATTGTGGAGTCTTGGAAGTTGGAAACAACTTATTCAATCATTTAAGGCCAACAAAACTTTATTTGAAACAGTGTAGGATCATTTAAGATTAACAAAATCTCTTGGTTATTTGATTACAGTGGCAATTTGGGTATAATTCTTGCTTTATCCGAAATCATTTGCTCGTCTATTTAAGGCTGATTGTAGGGTAAGCAAACAATTTTACTGGTTATGACACTCTTCACTTTTGTCAATCATGGGTCTTATATTACTGTCAATTATCTTATAGGTTTGCTGGGCAGTTCCTGTGCAGCTACAGCACCTTGCCGCTGTATGCCTTGGTTACTCAGGTACAACCAGATATACATATATTATGCATAAAAAAGACAGAGTCGTTTTCTGACAATATTTATATTTTACATTTATTTTTAGATGGGAACAAATTATAAGGCGGCACTAATTCCACAAAGGATAAGAGAAACAATTCATGGGTGGGGAAAGGCAGCTAGGAGGAAAAGAAGGCTAGGCATATACAATGATGAGTCAACGATACACACAGACACAAGCACAGTAATGTCACTTGAGGAAGATGATCATCCAATGCTCGATAATCCTGCAATTGATGCTAATAATATACACAATGGAATTGAGTTGCAACCAGTTTCTAGTTCTATGACCAGTCCTTGCCTAGCTGCTAATGAAAACTCAAGTAGGGTGGGCACACCCCTTCTTCGACCATCGGCTTCTGTTTCTGTTTCTTCACCAGTTACATTGACTATTCATACAGAGAGTATTCCAAGATCCGCTTCAATGCCAAGCAGAAGGTAATGAAGCAATGACTACAATCATGATGAAGAAAGGCATGTGACAATGAATTTGGGATCAAATGGAATAAGAAAATATTAGAAAAGGGAATTGTGTAGATTTTGCTTCCCTCTGTATGCAATCTGAAAAATACTTGAAAGGGTTAGAGCTCATAGGATACTTGCGAGATGTAACGCGTGTGACACGATATTGCAGTAGTTAGAATGTAAACATTTCCAGCAATAGAGATATAAAGTTTAGTAAATGTCAACTCACAGATAGTACTGACTACTGATCCATGATGTGAGTTAGTTGTTTAGTTGGACAGTAACATTAATGAAGCTTGCTGTTAATGTTCAAATGTATTTGGCATTGAGGCATCTTGCTAGTGTTACTTATTAAGCTGATGAATTGATCAAAACTACCCGTTTGGATGAATTTTCGTAAGCGTCTTTTTTTATAATAGCAGTTTTAGAAAAAGGGGCAAATGTCTGCTGGATCTTATATGATTGTATGTGGTAAATTCAACTAGAAAGACATGGTAGACTGCGTAGATTTTATTAGAATAGCATGTTATTTTCTGAAGCTTTAATTGACAGACATGAAGCTCTGCAGTTGGCAGCTTCTTTAGACTACATGAATATCTAGTTATGAAGCTCTGCAGCAGAGTGATGGTGGGCTTCATTTGCTGTCTTGGTTGATGAATCTGATGAATCTGGTGGTATATTTGGTGTTATAGGCTCCCCTCCACCCATCTTGGTAGGCGTCATCTGCTCATGCTGAGTGGGTTTGTTGTAAGTGAGCCCATTGGGCTGGCCTGGTTGGAAACCAGCACCAGGGCACTCACAGTCTGGATTGCCAGCGTAACCCGGACCCGGGAGAGGAGGAGCAAATCCACCCCCACCGCAATTGTTTCCATGCCCACCAGACCCAGACCCAGTACCGATGCCGACTCCAGACCCAAACCCACTACCACCGCTGTTTCCGTACCCGGGTCCCGAGGCCCCTGGGCCATTTCCAGGCCCATATCCACCACTCCCAGTCCCAATACCAACTCCCCTACCTTCCCCATATCCTCCATCCCCAGTCCCAATACCAATTCCTCTACCTTCTCCATATCCACCATTTCCAGTCCCAATACCAATTCCTCTGCCTTCTCCATATCCACCATTTCCAGAGCCTCTCCCAATGCCAATACCAGTGCCTTCCCCATGACCAGAACCTGTGCCAATACCATACCCCTCCCCAATTCCTACACCATTGCCACCGGAGCCAATGCCCTTGCCAATGCCTACAGCTGTCCCAGTCCCAGTGCCAATGCCTACACCTGAGCCAAACCCTTGGCCCATTGGCTTATCTTGGCCCATCATCTTTCGATTGACCCCGGCAGGGGCCTCAAATTTAATGACCTTGTGGGCATTGCTCAAGCTAATTAAGCACAGAAAAACCGGCAAACCAATGCTGCAGGCACATTTTGGTATTGCCATCTTTGTCAAGTATCTTGGTTTTTGTTTGGTTCTAATTATTTTGCATGGATTTATATATACATCTAGTGAGGCTAGCTAGCTCTGAAGGTAGTTGCTTGTGGAAGACGGAAACTTGGAAGCACCAAAAGCCCTGCACTGGCGGATTGTTAGTTGCTTAAAGTCCGGAATCATGAACCTTCTGTGAGCAGATACCACAACAATCAGCACGGTTTTAACATTACCAAGATCTTGTAAATACCCAAGACAAGGCATGTCAAATTACTTTGTTACAAAATATTATACGACATGAGGTCAAGGAATGAAACTTGTTGGTGTTGACATTTTGAAAAGACTTTAGATTTTCAGATTGGTTATATCAAATTACCTAAGTTGTCCAAAATCATGTTTACAGCCAACTTTAATTTGGTGCTGGATCAAAAACTGTAACTCGGGCTATTAGGTCTGTGATGTTTCATGAGCAGCATCATACGTGCACAGGACTTAGCAAGAAGGGATTACAAGAACATAAATAGCCTTTTTACAAATAAACCACCAGGTAAGCATCCAAATCCCATTTGTAAGACCTAGTTAGTAAGTTCGCGTATTATACATGTAAGTACGTATTATTAAAAAAATACTCGTGTTTTCCTCTCACTTCTCAAAGATACGATAAAATATTTTTAGAAAACAATGCTGGTAAAATTCACATATTTTTCATAAATTATTGAATAAAAGTACTTCTCATTAAACCCTATTATATGGAGCTTGCTTCATCAAAGTAAAGATAAGCAAAAACATTGATATTTAGTCATATACCCATTCTTAGCACTAAAACTATAAATAAACCCTACACCATTTAATTTCTATAAACAAACCCAAAAAATGACAGCTGGCCTTATTGAATTTAATTTTGATTATTAAATTACTTTGATACCCTATTGAGTATTTTAGGCTCTTTTATGATGTTTGGGGATTTGGTTTGTTTTAAGAGATCAATGATATTTTTGTAATTTAAAAGAAGTTAAAAGCTCTTTTGTTATGTTGTAAATGAGCTTCGGGTGTATTTCTAAAGTCCATTTCATAGAGAGTATTTTTATAATTTGGGCTCCCTATATTGGTTATAATAGTGAATCTCCCAAACATTATTTACTTTTGGATAAGCCAAGACAACTTCTAGTAGCTCTCTCAATAGAATGAGCTTTCTTTACAAATAAATTTATCAAATGTTAAATAGCCTCCCCTTGCAACAATGGCAGACTTTCAAGTATTAAAAACAGTGATAATTTTGCATCAAAGTGAGTGGGTTGTTTCGAGTAAAACCATCCGAGCAGTTTTTAGAAAAAAAAACTAATGATACGGGATGAAAATCTTGCCAATGTGCGTGCATAGATCACATAAGAAATGTCAGACACTGGATAATTTGTCACCAAAATATTAGTCATTCCTGAACGTATATACCTTCCTGTGCAGAGACCAATATCTGCAACCACTTATGCATTATCATCCTCTGAAAACCAGAATTGTCAAATTCTTGTCAATGGGGGCAAACCCCTTAAAACTTGATTCTGAATGGAAACAGCAGACAAAACATTTTACATAGTCCACACAATGGCCAACATGATAAAGAAGCCAACTTGGGAAATGTGGAAAGCTCTAAAGTAGTTATTGCCTGTAATTTATCAACAGTCAAACGACCTCGCCATTGCCTGATTCTGCCTCCATGGCCTTTAACTCTTCAGCCAACATTCGTTGCCTGTTCTGTGCTTGCCTTTCCGCAGCAACCATGTATAGGCCTAAGCACAAGTAACAAACACCATCAGCAAACTAAGGAGGTGCCAAGTATTTGAAACAAAGACAAATGCACATAAGCAACAATTATATAAAACGTGGTGTTATTTATAACACAATTTATTAAGGGTACTCACCTGTTAAAAAAAAAATCAGTTTAGAGGATAGAATCTAGTTATTATTGGGTTATCTATTTCCCATCCAATCCAATTGAGAATTACAAAGGGCAACTAAAATTTGTTGGATTGAATTGAATCCATGGGTTTGGTTTGAAATTTGCGCACCCCTACATCTTAGTTCACAAATGGATGTAGCTGCGCACCATGCTCGCTAAACTCACAGAGGTAAGATATTGTGTTTATGTGTGGAATATATACTATTAGTGTTTCAGTTTGTAAGCCAAAAGTATTGTAAAACTTAGAGTAGACCAAGCATTTTCCGTATGAAACATTGACTTGGAAATTAAGTTTTCTATTTGAATCAAGAACCTATGAAAGAAAAGGTCAAGAACTCATACTGGCAGCACTTCCAATTGCACAGGCCCATAGAATCCTCATGGACCATCTATCCCCAATAACTCCTCTGGCTCCCATACCTTGCTGCCAAACCCAATTAGACTGCTTTAGCATGACAACATATTGGATACTAAACCTCATTGCTTATTGGATAATCTAATACAAGAAACTTCAAATGCAAAAGTTCCTGATTAACATCAAGTTTCAACATTATCATACAATTTGAAGCTCAATGACCAAAGAGGCAACAATCTTAGCAACTATTCCTTAATTCATATTCTCATTCATTATAGACTACCAAAGGTGTAGTGGACTAGACAGCAGCTGATCCGAGCCTATTACAATTGGTTATGATTCAGTTGTATGCATAGTTGGCTAATATGGTTGTAGTCGGACCCTATACTTTATCTTGGGATGCTATTGCTGGAGTGATGGGCACATGCTTCTCGGTACTGATTCGTATCGAATTAGCAAGAGCGGTTGAAAATTTCCAATCTAAAAGCCTTAATCAATGACTTTGTTTCTTTTTTATTTATTTACAAAAAGTTTAGTAAGGTGAAATCTAAAGACTTAAGCTTGTATAATTAAGGGTCACTGCAGTTTGTATCAGTTATTCTACATCAAAGAAATTGGAAACACCTATTCAGGTTCTACTTCTTTCTCTCTTTTCTCTAGCTTTACAATTCAGATATTAATTGCACATGACCACTAAAACTAAAAGTTTCTCTGGCCCAGAAATATGTAGCTTTTTATGTGTTTGTGAAAATGCCTAGCAAAGATGTACAATTCACTAAAAACCTAGAAAAGCAGATACAAATAGAATTTTATCATATAAGAAATTGAATTGGTAAGGAAACCCATTTGGCATAGCATGTCAGAATAGAAATCAATAATCAACAATTAGCAAAATGGCATGACAATTTGACACACATAAACGCATAGAAATGAAATCTTACTCGTTTGAGAGAGAGAGAGAGAGAGAGAGAGAGAGAGAGCGTTTGGTGGCGGCTGCCGAGACCCAAGAGAGAGAGGAAAAGAGAAATGAGAAGTTAGGAACGAAATGCCGCTTCAGCAAAGTTGCCACATGCTGGTTTCTCCAAAGTTTATTTACACAGAGAGAGAGAGAGAGAGAGACCAAAGCCAGTGAGAGGGTCTTTGTTTTAATTTTTAATTTTTATTTTAAATAAGCAAGCGGCAAGAAGGGCTTTGACAACAACCCAAATTGGAGTTCTTTTCTACAGCAAGCCCATCTGAAGGCTACAGCCCAGGAATCTCCAAGAAAACACAACAACAACAAAAGGTGGAACTCACATAAAATCAGTAATCCCATTACTAATTTTGAAGGAATTTGATTACTGAAAGGAAAGGTAGGATTGGAGAATAGGTCTTGCTTTTCTTAGAGGTGGTGATGTAATATTGAATGACCATTTTATTGAGTGATGAATATTTTTGCTGTCGAAATGCCTCTTTGTTTTTGGTCGATTCTATAAATATATACGCTTATCATTCACGACTATTTCTCTCTTTCTTTTTCCATACAATTTACTCCATTGTTTCTATATAAATATATATGCTTGATTCTTTATTTGACCCGAGTTATGTGAGTCTTTTTAAAGTTAAAAAAGAGTTAGAACTTTTAATGACTTCTATAGAGTTAAAAAGTCGGAAGTATTTAATTTAAAATTTTAAAGAGTTTATAAAAGTCTAGTGGTATTTAATTGTGATTTTTTTTAATAAAAAAAATTAAAACTATTTCAAAGTTTGGTGGTATCCATCTGTAATTTTTTAAATAAAAAAAATTAAAAGTTGAGTGGTATCCATGCCTCTTATTTTCTTCTCTCTGTTTTTTTTGATTTTATTGTTGAATATTGAGATATTTTGATAATTGGCATCTTGATTTTCTTGGTTAGATGTTGAAAGCTATGGTTTTTTAGGCTTGATTTTCTGGTTTAATAAGTCTCAGATTTCTCATATATATAAAAAAGGATCTTGATTTTCGTTTAACATCTTGATTTCTCATATACAATCGATTGTGTCTTTTTGTTTCAATTTAACTTATCTTTTTCCTTATGTTTTGCTAAATTATGTTTATCTCTCATAAAGAAAAGATGCTGAAGAAGAAAAAATGTTCAAAATTATTATGTTTTCCAGTCCAGTCCAATTCAAAGTCAGTTATAGCATCAAACAACAGACTTAAAGTCCGGTCCAGTCTCAACCAGTCCAATGACTCAAATCCAATCTTGTCCTAGTCGGCATATTAAATGAGGCCTTAATAAGTTTATAAAAGTCCAATGATATTCAATTGTGACTTTTAAAAGGTATTTAAAAGTTTGGTGGTATCCAATTATGAGTTTTAAAATTTTTAAAAAAATTTGGTGGTATTTAATTGTAACTTTTAAAGAAAAATCAATAATATAATTTGAATTACATTTACTGACCAACTAACTAACCACATTTTTTAGTAAAAGTGAAAATTCAATGTGTACACACCACCACACCACATCACCACAGCCTAACGAGAAAAACTTCCCTGGCACGGGTATGCCAGGGTCAGCTATCCACCTCAGTGTCCCAGCCCAATGAGATCACGCCAGCTGTCAACAACTTTGACTCTATCTTTTATTCTTCTTTTAAATGAAACTTTCCATTTAATATTTTATCAACACTTTTAGTGGGGACAAAATCTCCAGAATACCCTCCCACTCATTCCAATCTCCTCTTCTGACCAAAAACCCACGTGATTTCTCCTTTTTTTGGTTAGGAACGAAAATTCTTTCTTTTGTTGGGATATCTCTCCCTTAACAAACCAGCCACTTGGTTTCTTTGGTTTTTTTTTTCTTTCTATTCTTAATGGCTTTTAAAGAATAAAAATTAAATTGTTGCTTTTTTTAAATTTATTAAAAATTAAAAAAAAAAGAGCTGGAGGGCCAAGCCCCATAAACAACACTTAGACAAGATTAATACAAACTAAGCGAGTTCTGTGAACCCCAGCAATATCATCTGTGAGAGCAAAGTTTCAAATTTCTCACAAAGCAAACAAGAAATACTTTATTTAGCTATTTGGATGTATTCTTGAAGGCTGCATTTTCTTTAAGTGCAATGTAATTCTTTCAAATCATTCAAAATCATTTTCTTCAAACAACACTTCAAAAGGAAAGATGGGTGGTATTGTTCCCCTATACAAAAGTGTAACCTTTGCCAAATAACAAAACAAAAGGAAATGGAACACACTAGCCAGCACATACATATAAGTGTAATTTTCAGATGATATACATCTTCTTCTTTGCAAAGTGTAACAATGGCCTCTACACATCAAAATGATCAAATTTTCGGATGCCCCTGTTCAAATAAGATATTCAACTAAAAATTAGAAAATTAATATAAGGCCTTGTCATAATAGGATTAGAAACTATAAGGACGATCTCTACCTATTGTCAACCAGCCTATATCAATCTTAACATCCACGAAATTGGTTGAAACCATCGAAATACAAATCCTACACCACAACTTAACCACATGAGATCACATTTAAAATTTCATCCACATGGATATTAAAGCAAATATAAGAGTCAGTTAATATCATGAATCAAACCTGACTTAAATTACTTGATGGTCCATATGCAACATTTTCATTCAAAGTTCTTGATGAATCCTAATGCATCATGACATGATCTCATGTTAGGAAAAAAAAAAAAAAATCAGATTTCTTAATTCCATGATCTCATGTAATACCTGACTCAAAAAAGACATTTGATCACTTCCTTGAAGCATGCTTGTAAAGCGAAAGTTTGGATGTCCAAAAATAGGGCTTGAAATATCCTAATAAAAACATATGAGATTAGGAGATTAACATTAAAATTAACAATCAAAATAATGAAGAGAAAGAATAAGTACATCAAATTGATGGACGAATGGATTATAATGAGTTGAATGAGGAGGACCACCAATGATTTCTTGCTCAGGTTGGCCTGCAAAATACTCATTATTAGCACATGATATTGATAAACTAGCAAAAATAATCTAGTTAAAAATAATTCAAATAAATGAATTCTTACTAGCAGTCACTGTGGTAGGCCTTGAAACTTGAGATGAATTTCCAACTCTTCCATCTTTCCTTTTATCTTTCTTTCTTTTCTTCTCCATGTTACTTTTTATCCTAGCATTGGTTATGCCTTTAGCTCTTATAGTGGGGGGATTCAAAACTGGTGGCTTATCACTGACCACATCATGAACATTTTGGTCATCAATGTTATTCAAATTTTTCTTTGCCCTAGCAGTTTCCATATCACGTTCAAGTAACAATTTAACCTCTGCTAACTTTTGTTTGACAAGCCTTGTTCTTGAATCAGAGAATGATGCTATACTAACAACATCGTTTACTTCATGCATCAACTCACTTAGGCACAATGATTGGACAGATTTCTCCTTCTTATTGGAAGATTCGCACAAGTCACTACTCACCACAATTTCTTTCTTCACCCTTTTAGTCCATCTCTTCAATATGTATTGACTTGGTAGGCTGGTGATATTTTTGGAATCAAACACTTTCAAGGCATGCCGACATAACAATCCTTTGGATTCAAATAACTTACACGAACAAGAAATTTTAGAAGTTGATGAGTTAAAATGGATAGCTTGTTTATACTTGAAATGATTTATCAAACTTTCTGCATCCCCCCCTTCAATCATTTCTTCTTTCTTCCTGTGCAAATAATTTAGGCAATCTTTCTTAGTAAACCCGACATTCTCAAGCGAAAGTTTGGATGTCCAAAAATAGGGCTTGAAATATCCTAATAAAAACATATGAGATTAGGAGATTAACATTAAAATTAACAATCAAAATAATGAAGAGAAAGAATAAGTACATCAAATTGATGGACGAATGGATTATAATGAGTTGAATGAGGAGGACCACCAATGATTTCTTGCTCAGGTTGGCCTGCAAAATACTCATTATTAGCACATGATATTGATAAACTAGCAAAAATAATCTAGTTAAAAATAATTCAAATAAATGAATTCTTACTAGCAGTCACTGTGGTAGGCCTTGAAACTTGAGATGAATTTCCAACTCTTCCATCTTTCCTTTTATCTTTCTTTCTTTTCTTCTCCATGTTACTTTTTATCCTAGCATTGGTTATGCCTTTAGCTCTTATAGTGGGGGGATTCAAAACTGGTGGCTTATCACTGACCACATCATGAACATTTTGGTCATCAATGTTATTCAAATTTTTCTTTGCCCTAGCAGTTTCCATATCACGTTCAAGTAACAATTTAACCTCTGCTAACTTTTGTTTGACAAGCCTTGTTCTTGAATCAGAGAATGATGCTATACTAACAACATCGTTTACTTCATGCATCAACTCACTTAGGCACAATGATTGGACAGATTTCTCCTTCTTATTGGAAGATTCGCACAAGTCACTACTCACCACAATTTCTTTCTTCACCCTTTTAGTCCATCTCTTCAATATGTATTGACTTGGTAGGCTGGTGATATTTTTGGAATCAAACACTTTCAAGGCATGCCGACATAACAATCCTTTGGATTCAAATAACTTACACGAACAAGAAATTTTAGAAGTTGATGAGTTAAAATGGATTATGTAAACTCTTTCATGTCCTTCTTCAATTGCTTCAAAAACATATTCTGGACCACTATTACAAACTTCCACCAACCTAACCTCAAAGCAACCCAAAAGCTCCTTTTCAAAGAAGGAAAACATCTTAATGGTGTACTCACCAGCTGCTTGTTTAAAGATACCACTCTTTGCTTTAAGATAAGGCATGCCATTTTTACAACGAAAATCCTCTTCCAACTCTGCTAATCTCATATCAACTGTTTTTTGCTCATAATGGTGCACAAAACTTGTGAGAGTCATTGTTTTTGTAGAAATCTGGTGAAAGATGTTGTTTGTGCTCTCAACCCTTTGGGTGGCTCTAATATTAGCTGAGAAATAATCTAAATTGAAAGCAGAGCACCATTTTTTTCTAAGTGAATATAACTTTTGCAGCCATGAATGGTTCTCAAGCTTGAATGTGTTGATCATGTTATCCCATGTGGCTTGAAATTCTGATTCACTAAAACAACCATAAAAGCATTTGTTGAACTGCTTGCTGAACTCTGGATTAGTATAAAGACCAGCTAGAGGTTGTGTAGCATTTTTAGCAATATGCCAAGTACATAATCGATGGCGTGTATGTGGAAATACAATCTCAATTGCGTTTGCCATGGCTTTATCCTCATCTGTGAAAATAGTTATCGGATGTTTATTTCCCATTGACTCCAAAAACGTTTGGAGCAACCAAACAAATGACTTTGTGCTTTCATCTAATAAAAAAGCACAACCAAGTAATACATTTTTCCAATGATGATTAATTCCCACAAATGGAGCACAAATTAAGTTGTATTTGTTGGTCCGGAATGTAGTATCAAAGCATATAACATCTCCAAAGCAATCATAGTCTAACTTTGATCTACCATCTCTCCAAAAAAAATTTGTCATGCGAGTAAACTGATCCACTTGAACACTATAGAAAAAATTAGGATCCTCAGCTTGTTTATACTTGAAATGATTTATCAAACTTTGTGCATCCCCCCCTTCAATCATTTCTTCTTTCTTCCTGTGCAAATAATTTAGGCAATCTTTCTTAGTAAACCCGACATTCTCAGCACCGCCAACTTCTTTTGCCAAATATGAATATGACTTTGTTGGCCTTATACCTGCTTCAACCATAGAAGACATAACATTTGCATGAACCTTTCGTATCTTTCTACCCGATTTCAGAAATTGTCTTTCTTCAGGCTTAGCACACTCATGATTATGATCTAAATTTAGATGACTTATCTTCCACACTTTATCTTCCACAGTGAATCGAATTCGAGCCATACAACCTGTCCTTGTATCCAACTTATGAGCTGTCTTCACTTGGCCAAAGTCATCATAAAACCCTTGCTTTGAACACAAATAGTCTCGTTGTCGAATATTACTTTTTGTATCTCTTCGAATATTTCCTTTTCGAATGCTAAAACCTTTCTTCAATGCATAAGAGTTACATAGATTATATGCTTCAACTTCATTACACACCTCCATGCCCTCTCTTAATTCATCACCTTCGAATAACTTTTCCTCTTTATTTGTTTCTAACTTTTCCTTTTGGCAGTCAGATTCCATTCTCCAAATAAAAAACCTACCAAATAATCATGGTTTCTATTTTATATAGCAGGACAATAAAATTTAAATGGAATAAAAACTAACAAACAGAGGAGAACAGAGGAGGCTTGAAAGTTATCTGAAACCCCCAAAAAATCAATAGCGTAACCACTAATAACTCTAAAGTTAGGGAAATCTCAAACATCCACCCACACCGCACAATCAAAATAATAAAGTATATTGAACCTTTAAAAAACAAATACCCACAGAAAGATAACACAAACACAACAATCAAACCACAAAATTGGGGTTGGAACGAAAAGAGAGAGAGAGAGAGAGAGAGAGAGAGAGAGAACCTGGTGTGTGTAGAATATGAAGCAGGGAGCGATGATGGACTTCCAAGCAGTGCTGAGAAGAGAAAGCACAGGAACACCAAGGGTTCCTGTTAGTCGACAAAAACAAAGAAGGGTTTTTTGTTAGAGGCGGGAATGGGTGGGAGGGTTTTTTGTTTAAGTGTTGTTTATAGGGCTTGGCCCCCCAGCTCATTAAAAAAAAAAAAAAATCAATTTTTATTCTTTAAAAGATTAAGAATAGAAAAAAAAAAAAAAAAAAACCAAAGAAACGAAGTGGCTGGTTTGTTAGGGAGAGATATCCCAACAAAAGAAAGAATTTTCGTTCCTAACCAAAAAAAGGAGAAATCACGTGGGTTTTTGGTTGGAAGAGGAGATTGGAATGAGTGGGAGGGTATTCTGGAGATTTTGTCCCCACTAAAAGTGTTGATAAAATATTAAATGGAAAGGAGCGCGTATTACGCAGAAAGAAAGAAGACCAAAAGGCAAAGAAAGAAGACCGCGAAAGGAGCGCGTATGACGCAGCCTTACGACATCGCGTGGAACTCTCATGTTACTATTTTCTCACTCACACAGTCACGGCCACTCCCACTGTTGCTCTGCCATTTCCTTTTCGGAAAATGCTAGGCTTACCACATTTTTCATACCACATTCATACCACCTCTCTAATACCCTTCCTTTTCTTCCATTAGAAGCAAGACACCTTAAACACACACAAAGACACGAAAAGACTCTCTCTCTCTCTCTCTCTCTCTCTAAAGCTCTCTTTCCATTGTTTGCCTTCTGTATTATCGTCGCTTAATCTTCTCCAGGTAAGCGACCTTTCACTCCCTTCCTCCACATTTCCCTTCATCAAAATCGTTTCTTTCACTGATTAATCTCTCACTAAAACCCTGATTGTTTTCTTGGTTTACATTTTGAACTATACGCATTATGCTGTTCTATGATGATGATGATATCTTCATAGCACAATCCTCAATGTGTTTGTTTGCAGAGGACTTCATAATATGTTTTTGAGTGTGTGTTTCTCTGTAGACGTTATGAAACAAGATTCTTATGCAAGAACCTATTAGGGTTGAGTTCCATCATCCATGTGTGGGCATGGGCTCTCAAGTGATGCAGAGAGGCTCACACATATGATGGGGAGTGTTGGAATATAAAATATTAGTTGACCCACCTCCTAATAGTTCAAAGCTTGTGATTAACAGTCACAAACCAACCAAACTTGTCACTAATCAACCAATAATCATATGGAACGTTTCAAAGATAAGAGCTTTGTTTTACCCACATATTCTTTTGGATGCAAAATACTTCTTTTAGTTCTCTTGAAAATGATTTTTAGTGGGTTACATTAGTTTGAAGTACTAAACTAATTTTGTTATCTCCCTTCACGATTGACTTCCTTTTGTCATTGCTAGTTTTCTTTAAATAGTTGATTGATACGCACCAGCTTCAGTAATTTTGTTCCCTTGTTGGTGGAGTTCCTGATTATGCATTGACTATTGACATTGGCATTCTGTTTCTCTATTCTTATTTTGTGAAGTGTATATCAAAATGCAAGCATTTTCCTCACCTGCTGCAAGCGACGATGACCAGAAAAGGGACTTGGAGTATTTGCTTGAAGTTTTTAGCTCTATGTGCTCTCTTAAGGACATAGCCTCTGCTTACTGCCAGGCGAGGCACAATGTAGAAATGGCTGCTGAAATTCTATGTGCATCACATGTAAGGCCCTCAGATGGTGCTTGTTCATCAAAAGTTAAATTTGAGGGTGCAAGTGCAACTTCTTCGGAAGGAATGTCATCTGACAAAGTTCTTCAGAATCCCTTAAATGGAGCGGGCAATACCAGAGCATCAAACTCAAAAAAAAATTCTGTATCAGTGGGTACTGTTTCAGGTATGATTGGAAAAGAGTACATTAGGCCCAGATCATCAACAAATGAATCTATTGAAGTGAAGAAACCATTAAAGTTAGAGCTGAAAGAAGTGCCCGCCTCTGAGATATGGAGTGAAGAAGTTGAATCAACCATGCCAGCAGAAAACAGCAAAATGCGTGCGGATATTGAAGAGTTTCTGTTTAAAATGCTCGGAGAGGGCTTTAAACTTGATATGGATGTCATCCGAGAAGTTCTTGGTAAATCTTCTTATCTCGTTAGAAATTTGATTTCTTCAATACTCTGGAATACGATTAGTGAGTAGGAGTTGATTCTTAGGACTCAAATCTGGATATTGGAATATGACACCTGTTCATTAAATTTCTCCTATCAAGGGGAACTTTCAGTTTCTTTTGCATTTACATTACTTAAACAGGAGATGGTGAAAAATATACTTGTAGGAATTAAATGTACTAGAGCTATAATAAAGAAATTCATTCTTCTCTTTATAAGAAGAGATACAATGATGGCCTTTTAGGAACACCTATTCTGATTGTTCATTGATGCTGATTCATTGTATTATCTCCTTTGTCCCATGATGCAACACTGCTGCAAATTTGCAATGGCAGACTGAAAGAGTTGCTTATTTTGCGCTTGTAATGTATATCATCATGCAATATATATAAAACTTTTTTCTCTGCTAGAGCGCCATGTTCTCAATGTGGTTCCACTTGAGCAGGACCGGATTGAGTGGATCAAACTGATCTAAATTTTTGACCCTACCCCCCCGAACGGGCTGATCAACAAAACTTACAAATGCTGCTCGAGCTCTTTAGTGGCCTCTTGAGCTGAATAGGCATCTGTACCTGTTGGCATTCAGTATGGAGATGGAGTTTATAATATATTAATAGATAAATATGATTCTATCCATTGACATTGGACAATATGAGTGTATAATGATGTAGCATTACCATTGAGCTAAAATGGCACTTCTGGGTTCTCTAGATGATAGTTCTGTTCTTGTCTTTGGTTGCCTTTCAAATATAAAAAGAAAACCACTTCTTCTGTAGTAGAATGGAAGGTCAAGCGTGCCTTTTTATTTTATAATGTAGAATAAATCAAAAAACTCACGGCAGCTAACTCACAAACAAACAACCAAACACCACAGCAAGCACACAGATAAAACCAGAGGATAATCAAGCAAGAAAACACTTACTCAATGAACACTCAATGAACTCACGCAGACACGGAAGAGAATAGAAGGAAGAAGACTCAAGCTGGAAACTCAGAGAGAATATGGAAGAAAAGCTCTTTCGTCTGATTAGTTCACATTCAATAATAATAATTTTTACAACAACACTCTCATTACAAAACAAGAGACCAACGTCTCTTTGAGAGACAAACTTTTAGTCAAAAGAGAAAAGTTGCCTAGAGGACATCAACCGACATCATGCCTATAGGGTAAAACAAAATACCCTATTGAGTTAATAAACAAAGCCAAGTCTAGCCGACAGCATGCTTACATGCTTTTACAAAATATGGATAAAGTTGGATTCCTTTAGCTTGGTTTAACTTTCAACAGCCTCCCTTAAACCAAGCTCATCATAACTCTGCATTCCCATCATCTTCTTCAGCTTCATGAACGCATCCATCCTGAGACCCTTAGTAAATATATCTGCAATCTGTTCTCCAGTTGGACAATATTGGACTTCAACCACCTTGTCATTTACCAAATCCCGAATGTAGTGGAACTTCACAGGTATATGTTTAGTCCTCCCATGAAAAACAGGATTCCTTGCCAATGCAATCGCTGAATTATTGTCACAATAAATTGTTGTGGGGCTTTTCTGTTCATGATGAAGATCACCAAGTAATTGGCGCAACCATACTGCCTGTGTAGCAGAATTTGTGGCTGCAATATACTCTGCTTCAGTAGATGAAAGGGCCACAACTTGCTGCTTCTTTGATGACCAAGAAATCATTCCAGAACCAATATGAAATGCATAGCCTGAAGTACTTTTTGCTGTTTCAACATCACCAGCCCAATCATTGTCCGTGTATCCTTCAAGCTTCACAGGACAATTAGCTGAATAGAAAATACCATCACTTTGAGTTCCTTTGACATATCTCA